GCGCAGGTCTTCGGGGAGGGCGTCGTCGTCTAGGAGAGGCCAGAGGGCGGCCTCACCCCTCCAGGTCCTAAGGCAGGTGTCACACCAGGCCTGTCCGTCGTCTCGCTGGCCCGCGGTGAGCCACACTCTCTTGGCAGGTCCGCCGCAGCTGCACTGGTGGGGGATCCTGTCTGCCACGCTTCGCCGTCGCGCAAGAGCCGGGTAGCCCGTTGGCCAGAAGCCGGAGGACGTGATGTGCCTCGGTGAAGGATGCACAGTGTCCCAGGAGAGACCATTTCGCGCCGTCTGTCTGCGCCCACCTGCGCTCGTCACTGGTTGCGGCGAACCATTTGTCAACGATGCGTCCATGTAACTGGGGCCAGGCCGCGGCGTAGACCACCCGACCGAAGTAGCGAGCCCGCAATCGAGGAGGCCCCCTCACCGCTCGATTGAAGAAGTCGGCTGCCCTGGAGTCGGTCAGAACCTTGGAGCCGGGTCTGAAGGGCCCTTGCCGCGGCGGAAACTCCCGTGCCAATTTCGCGAGTTGGTTCCACCTTCTTCTGGCCTTCTGTCGTGACTGGGGCGGGCCCCACAGGTCGTCAAGGACGTGGGCTCTGGCTGCAGTCGCACGCGAGGTGGCGACAGGGCACTTGGGGCAGCCAGGGACCTGGAACCGGATGCCCAGGCCAGTGAGAATGTTGTCGGGAATCCACGAGGCAGAGGCCAGGCCGAGAGCAACCCTAAGGTGGGCACGAAGCGCCCTTTCATGAACGGTGTCGGGGAGAGAGCAGTGCGAAGGGCAGGGGATGAGCGCAATCAGATAAGTATTCCAAGCAAGGGCGGTCTTGTTAGGCGACATGTTGGCCAGGTGTAGGGCCATGGCTCTGTCCCGGAGTTTGGGGAGCGGTTTGCCCCAAGTGCCCGCAACGAGGGCGTCGAGCTGTCCCCGGGTCACGGCGCCCCTGGGCGGTGAGGTCTCTCCTTCGGCAGCCCGAGATACGACGCAGGCGCCGAGGTAGGGCCACTGTGGCCGCGCAGCGGACGAGCCGAAGGGGGTGTAGTCCATGGCACGTCTCCACCACTCGTGCTTGCTGGCTGGAACCAGGGCCGTTTTGAAGTTGCACCTGTAAGGGCAGCTCCATGGAATACACAACGCGGCGCTGTCTGGCCCTCCGACCCATCTGATCATGTCCAGTATAAGTGCCTCCGGAAGGTCGGTGACCGTCGCCGTGGTGCCATTGTCAGTGAAATCCACGGGGGCAGTTGCCAGGAGTTGCCTGACGTTGACCCTGCGCGGCGCGCAGCGCGGCCAGGTCGTCCACGTGCGTCGGGTCGTCCGACCCCGTGATGTTTCCAAGGGCGCAGATGAGGGGGCCATAGCCCAGGCACCAGAGGAGCGGGGGGGCGGTGCCCCCCATTCCGATGGAGCGAAGGAGCCTCCTTATTCTGCTCTTGTACTTCCCTTTGCAGGTGCGCACGCTCCTGCAACTGACCAGGGCGTCCACTGAGTGAAGAAGCCAGCTGGGGAGTTGCCGTCGATCCGCCAGCTGCCCCATCCATTGCAGGGATATACGCTCGAAAGCTTTGTTCTGGTCGCAGAAGAGGGCAGCCGTGCTGGGGGCTGGGCCCAGGGATCTTGCGGCGTTCTGTATGTACTGGTCCACGGCAACTTGGTGCTCGCCCAGCAGGGCTGTCCACAATGGCCCGGGTTCGGTATCGGGCACCGGGTCCAGGGCAAGGTGGTTACTGGCAGATGTGATGTTGGGACCACACTGCCCCCCTCGCTTGGCCGCTTGATTAGGGCTGAGTCTGGGTTCGATCACCGGGCCAAGCTGGTCAGCAACGGTCGCGCCGTGCAGTCTCCGAAGGCAGGTGGGGAGTTGCAAGGGTCGCATGTCGCTGGGCAATTCAGCGGCAGCTTTTTTGCCAATCCAGAACAACAAATCAATGGAAGGGCCTAGGACCAGGTCGATAAGAACTGGGTTCAGGTCCGCGGCGCACCAGGCCTGCGCGAGCAGGCAGGCAACGAAACGGGCCCCGGGGTGGCACAGTTCATGCGGTTCTCCATCCACCCCAGGAGCACTGCCGCTTGGGCCCAAGACGAGGGAGGCAATCCTGCCCCACTGCGGGTTGGGGGAGTCCGGGAACTGCCCGAGATCCTTGCGCCGGAAATATTCGCCAAGGATTCGGTCCGCGGCTGGGGGAAGGGGAGGGGCAGTTTGCCAGATATGGTTACGGCTCCGCCAAAGGACGTCGTCAACTTCCTTCGTGCGTTCCTTCCACCTCCCATAAGTGTCACGCACCCCGGGAACGGCGTGCGTTTTGACGAAGATTTCTCGGCCCGCGCGGCGGTGCGAGGCGAGGGCGGGGCGCTCGACGCCAGGGCCCCTTTGTACGGGGGTGAGTCGAGCCGCCCGCCTCTGAGCGGTGTCGTTGTCCCACTTTCGCAACCAGGTGGCGGCCTGCTGGGGGGTCAGGTCGTTGCCGCCCCACTCGCACTCGGCAAGCCAGGCCGCGAGTGCCCCCACAGGGCGCGTGCTGGATTCGGATCTCGCCGCAGCAGCGAGCAGAGTACCTGGAGAGCGATTGGTCTTGATCCTGCGCCACTTCCTCCACCGGTCCTGCACGGCTGCCGACATAGCGTGACGACCAAGAGTGAGCAGGGCAGGAACGAGGGGGACAGTGTGGTCGTCCACCAGGGGAGGGGGCGGAGGTGGAGCTGAAGGCTCCTGCTCTCTTTCTCCTTCGCCGTCATCGTTGTCCCTGCGTCTTGCTGGGAAATGGCCAGGGGCCGCCGGGCGGGCCCAGTCGGCGGGTTGCAGGGGTCCGGTCAGGTCGACGTCGGGCAGTCCGAAGGTACGCTCGAGGAAGGTGTAGAGGGCTCTTAGTTCAGCATGCGCCTCGTCCGGCAGGAGGCGCAAGTCACCGGCCCGCATGGTGTTGTCTCTGCGGGTTCTGGGGGCGCCCTGAGGTTCAAGGTGCATGATGGCGTGGTCAGATACTGACGGTTTCCATTCTTTCCTGACTCCATAGGCCCCAAGCTGTCGGTAAGGGCAAGCGACGATGTCAATTTGCGACTCGTTGTCTGCGTCGACCCTAGTGGGGCCGTCGCAGTGGCAGACGCGCGATCCTGTCTGGGCGAGCAGATCGGCGAGGGCCGCAGCATCGTCGGTTTCGCCTTCTCTGGGGTTGTCAACCTGCATGTTCGTGTCACCCCCCCAGTACGTGGGGGTGTCATCCCATCTCTCGATGGCCTGACGAATGGCATCTATGGTTTCGGACTTCCTAGACGGAGGGAGGTGCGCCGACGCCAGGCGGTAGGTGCTTTCCCCTCGTCTGATCGCGGCTGCAACGGCGCGCCCAGGGACAAGATCCTCAGACCGAACAAGCGCCGTGCCGCGCGGGATGAGGATTGCCACCCCGCCGGCGCGGCCCCCGGCCGGCCCCGTGTACCCAGAGGTCTCGCGGGGCAAAAAAAAGCGCACCACAGCGAAGGGGCAACAAAAGAATGCCGCGACAACTCTTCTAAAAAATCGTCGCACTTTGTTTGCGCGCGACGAAAAATAAGGCGCGCCATCAAGAAAAAAAGGGGGCACCCGCCAAAGTCCGGGACAAAAAAAAACACAGTTGTTGTGGGTTCGCAGACATGTGCTTACACGTGTGAATGTGTACACACACATATATATATACACATGCTTATACAATTAAATACATGTATATACAACTCTATATGAATATGCACCTATAGATGTGCATACATATATGTATGTATATACTATAACATAATATAATATAACATAATATAATAAAATATATAATATATATATAGATGTATCGAAACCAATTGGCGTGCCCGACGCAAGCGTTGGAATTGGCTTGTAGACTCTGCGACGGGATTCGCGAGCCAGAACGCGCGCGCGCTATACTCGATCGGTTGGCCACGACAAACCCCGATTATGCCAGAACGCCGCTATGGCCCCAACCATCTTACGGCGGAGTGGCGTAGGTCATTCTGGTTACTATCATATTCTTTCTCTTTCTTCGTGTGTTTCTTGCGTTGTGTATTGTAATGCAGCTATATATATGTATCCTCTCTCCTCCTCCTCCTCCTCCTCCTCCTCCTCCTCCTCCTCCTCCTCCTCCTCCTCCTCCCCCCCCTCCTCCTCCTCCTCCTCCAGGGGCCCCCACAGGGCCAAAAGAGCCCTCCTCCCCCCGAGCAGCGCAAGGGGGGCGTGGGCAGCCAAAAACCTCGCGCCGTCGCCGCCGTCCGTCGCCAGCCGCCGCTCACGATCGCAGCGTATCTCGACCGCCACCGTCGCCGTTGCCCGGCCCTGTCGCGCCTCGTGCGCGGCCCCCCCGACGGGCCCCCGCGGGGCCCGCCGAGCCAGAGGGGTGAACGGGGAGAGAAGGGAGAGGATTGGGAAAGTGAGGGGGACGTGATTGGGGGAGAGACGGAAACGAAGAACGGTAGAGGAGGGAGTGTGATATATGGGGATTGGCAGGGAGTGGATATAGAGGGTTTGGCAGGATGGGTGCACTCGGGGATTGGAGCGTGGCCCCAGGTGGGTCTGGCACTCGTGTTTCGGTCAACCGCGAAAGATGAGCGGCCTCGCATCACGCACCCAAGCTTTCAAACCACTCGCGCAGCGTCGTTCGTGCCTCGAGGCTTGCATCAAAAAACACTTATCATCAAATCGCGCCTCGAGGCATGATAAATTATTCTGGCACTCTATGGGGCCACCCTCCCCAACATAGCACAGGCGAGGCCGATGCCGAGGCAAGGCGCTGACATTGCATTGCCTGGTGCCTTGATTGCGCCCCACTGCGCTGTAAACGTCGAGTGCAAATCTAACTCGGGAGGGTAGCCGAGCAGCAGAAAACGCTCCTTCAGGGTGAGGAACCTCTGGAACTTCGGAGGCTCCACGGCCTCGATCCACAACCTAGTGCTACGAGTTGTCAAGCGCGGAATCACACCGAAACGAATCTCTGTGCCACGAATTTTACCAGGAGCCCGACTCAAGTCAAATGCGCAGATCGTGTGAACTCCCACCGTCGAGTTGCCATCCACGCGGTCCTGCATCGCCTGCCTGGAGTGTTTCAAGTTTGCAACATGTCGACGACGACGACGACGACACGACGACGACAACGACGGACGACTGAGGACGGACGACGACGACGACGACGACGACGACGGACGACGACGACGACGGACGGACGACAACGACGACGACGACGACGACGACAACGACGACGACGACGACGGCGACGACGGCGGCGGCGACGACGACGACGACTACGACGACGAAGGGAACGCAAATGCTCGACCCCCTGTCCGTCACTCCCTCCCTCTCACCCTCCATTGCCCCATCATCCCTCCATCCTCTTCTTTCCTCCTCCCTGCCTCCTCCTACTTTCCTGCCCTTCCTCCTCTCTCCATTCACTTCCTACCTCCACGTTTCTGCCTCTCTGGGGGTCTGGATCGTTTTGCCAACCTGTTTAGCCGTCAGCTTCGACTCGTCGAACGCGGGAACGTCGATGTCTAAGAAATCGCGCAGCGAGGGGAGCTGGAACCTAGTGTCACAGGGCCTCACTTTCGGCATGATGTCGCGAAACGCGCTGATCCGCCTGCCACATAGGTAGACCCTCGCAGGGAGGCGGGAAGGCGTTCGCGGAGGAGGAGGAGAAGGAGGAGGAGGAGGAGAAGGAGGAGGAGGAGGAGGGGGAGGAGGAGGATAATGAGACGGAGTGGGATAAGGAGGAGGACGAGGAAAGGATGAGAGGAGTCCTTGGCCTGCTCTGGGGCAGCCCGTGGTAGATGGCGTCTGTGCGCCAGATCCAAGCCATCCACGTGTTGCCGAGCCTGTCCTTCAGCTGCTGCTCGGCGCACTCCATTGGACAGTCTCCGCCATGGCCCCTCTCCGCCATGCCCCCTACGTTCTCGAGCAAGAAGGCCATCAACGCCTTCGACGGGCGCTTGGCCTGGTCGACGACTGCATCGATGGCGCATCCGAACGGCTTGCTCCTTGGGTCACCCCTGCCTTTTCCTCGTGCTGGCGAACGTCGAACGCCGAGGGTCAACGAGGAAGGCGCCGCCCACGCGCGCAGCTTGCTCGACGCCGAACGGTGCCGGACAGGCTGCAAACAGGGCGCGGTGCCTTCCTCGATGGCCCTCGGGCGTTGATTCGTCCGCTGTGTCCTTGGCCAGCCTTGCTAAAGGGTGGGCAGGGCGGTCCAGCCACGATCATCTGCACGTCGGGGTACTCCGAGCTCTTGATCTTTGCGATGCCCCCCTTCTTGCCAACGAACACCTTCGCGAGCGTCCCGTCGTCGTGGACCTTCGCCATGAGAAGCTTCAGGCGGTCCCACACGTCGTAGCTCAAGGTGTTCGGCTTCATCCCGATCTCCCGCAGCGCTACTGTCGCTGTCTCCAGGCCACAACAGAGACTGAGCACCGTGACCTCCTGCCCCTGCAAAGGCGCTATATCCTCCTTGGCACACTGCTGCCGCGGGCAGTCGAGATGGCCGAAGTTCCACTTGCGCCTTTTGAGCTGCCTGGGATTTGCTGCTGGACGGCCGCCCGCATCGCGAGCGCTCGGTTTTCTGCGCGCTGGTAATGAAAGCATGCTGGTCGATGGCTGCAGCTCGCCTCTGAAATGTTTGCAGCCTGAACATTATCGAAAAAAACGAAGGACGGGTAAGATAAATCACAGCATAGCCTCGAAATGCACATCTAGCGGATTGATGCCGCAGTAGGCCCCATCCCGTGTAAATAAAAAGAAGAGGAGGAGGATGAGGAGGAGGAGGAGGAGGGGGAGGAGGAGGATGACGAGGAGGGGGAGGAGGAGAAGGAGGATGAGGAGGAGGAGGGGGAGGAGGACGAGGAGGAGGAGGAGGAGGAGGAGGAGGAGGGGGAGGGGGAGGGGGAGGAGAAGAAGCGCCCTGTGGGACGAGTAGGGGCGAGAGAAGAGGAGGAGGGAGGATACTATCACGGCATGCCGTGCTTGAGGCCTTCATGGTGGATTCAGGGACGAGAGTGCCAGTGCCGTCGCAGCCGCCTTCCTCTGATATGTAGCACCCCGCAATTGCGGATGGGGGCGGGCGCGGGGTGGGTCGCGGGTGGGTCGCGGGCGGGTCGCGGGCGGGTCGCGGGTGGGCCGCGGGGCGGGTCGCGGATGGGACGGCGCCAAACAAACAAACAAACAAGCAAGCAAGCAAGCAAACAAACAAACAACCAACCAAACGAACAGACAAGCAAGCAAGCAAGCAAGCAAGCAACCAAGCAGTCACAGCAACAACAAACAACAACAATCAACAACAACCAACACCAACACCAACAACAACGACAACGACAACGACGACAACAACAACAACGACAACAACAGCAGCAACAACAGAACCAACAACAACAACATCAACAACAACAACACCAACAACAGCAGCAACAACAACACTATGCGTCGCGGAATCCCACTTCAGCCACGCACCCAGGGGCAACTCTGACGAGGGTGAGAACTTATTTATATGTCCCCTCACTCTGACGAGGGCGGGGTCGATTGTGGGATGATTGATCCGGCGAGAAGCTGGGCTGAAGGGCCCCCGCGGCGCCCGTCCCCCGCGCCGGGAGAAGGGGGCGGGCAGGGCGCTAGTGGCGACTGAAGGGGAAGAGCTCGTGGAGGAGGGTGGGGATATGAGAGTGTGCGAGGATGATAGCTATAGTACTCGTGCTCGGCTGCCAATCTCGACTAGCTATCCGTCTAGCTCTGGCCTCTCACTCGGGATTATTGCGGTCCTCTAGTTCCTGGTCAATCCTGTCTAAGTCGTCCTAGTCGTACCTTCGTCGTCGTCGTCCTCCTCCTCCTCCTCATCCTCCTCATCCTCCTCCTTCCTCTCTCCTGTTCCTCGGGTGTCCTGGGAGGTTTGCCAGTGCCGACGAATCACGTCGCACTGAAACTGTGCAATCGCGTCTACGATCGCTGGGTCTAGCACGCTGTTTGTCATGGGTGCCCTCGATTTGGGAGAGAGGCGGTGCCCGAAATAGCTTAGGCGTGTCAAGGCTGGGTCCATTTCCTCGGCATGGTTCGCAATAGTATCATCAGCCTCTCAGCCCCCTTTAGGATGAGCCTTTTCGTTTCTCTCGCTGACTGTTCTCATGCCCGTCCCCGCCCCTCTTTTCGCATATCACACTTTGGTTATTTGTCCCGCCATTTCCTTCCCTGTCTGAACTATCCTACCCTTTCGTGTGCTTTCCCTTCCGCTTTTCTCACTGCCCATCTTTCCGCTCTGGTTTCCTCTGTGTCTCGTTTTCCTTATCTTTCTTTCTCTCCCTCTATTGTTTTGTTTGTTGTCTCTCTCTCTCTCTCTCTCTCTCTCTCTCTCTCTCTCTCTCTCTCTCCCATCTCCTCCCTCCTCCTCCTCCGTCTCTCCTCTTCCTCCTCCTCCTCCTCCTCCTCCTCCTCCTCCCTGTGTCACCTTATCTCCCATCTTGCGCTAATCTGCTGGGGGAGGGGGCTTCCAATTTGAAAACGCACCCTTGCCCTTCGGGCCCATTTGGGTCCTCGGAAGTGCACGGCCGACGTTGTAGCACACCATCTGGCCCAGGCCACGGCAGCACATAGCAATCCTGCACTATGCCACAGCGGTTGTGGCGGCGGGTTCAAGGGCTGATCGTCGAGCTCGGAATCTCGCTCCGACGACTCGCTACTCACGGCTTGCCTCAACGCTTGCCTTTAAAAACGTTGAGATATCAGCAGCAGAAGTAAGAGGAGCAGGAGGAGTTGGGAGCGATGTGGCGAGAGGAACAGGAGAAGGAGGATGGGGAGGAGGACTCGCTCCATGGAGGATGTAGTTTTAAATTTACCGTGCTACATTGATGTTCGGACCCGCGTCGGCAAGTGGAGCAGAGGTGAGGCAGGTTAGAGTGAAGAGGAAAGGTGGTAATCAAGTAATGAGTGCAACATAGCACTGGGGGGTGTCGAGTGGGGCTGTTCGATCGGGGCGACCCTTCAAATCTCGCAAAAAAAATCACTTGCCTGCATTGTCGGCAGGAGGCGCACTCTAGAGAAAATCGTGTGGTCCCATCGGCAGCGATGGGCTACTTGGGCGATCAACTTCACCGTCAAGTTTAGATGCTCATCTAGGAAGCATGCATAATACCTGGGGTTGCCCCAAAACCGAATGCGCAAAGCAAGATGCACAAACATGTGATGCTTAGGTATCATGAGTATCTCTGCAGCCTCAGCTAGATTGATATGCCGGACTGCCAACTGCACCAGCTCTCTACATGATTCTTTGTCCACCACACGTGGGACAGCCTTGAGAATGTCAATGACATGTGCCAGCGCGCTGCCAGCTTCATACAACACGCGCCCCGATGGAAGGTGGTTCGTTTTGCGCTGACACAGGTCGATGGCCCACCTGAGCAATACTCCTGTCTCGGCTGCCTTTGTCTTGATCGTCTTATCCGTGTCCGTGTCGAGCATCTTTGGGGTGAGATTCTGCATCCTCCTGCTCAAGGTATGCCAGCGCGATCGTACCAGCCTTGCATATCATTCATCACCCTTCGAACTCTCAACTCAAAAGAAGGCGCCTCGAAAATGTTCTCAGTCAAGCAAGCCCATACAACGTGTGCCACATACTGTTGGACAACCCCCAAATGAAACGTGTGCAGCAGATCGATCATCATATTTTGTGGCTCTATCCCCAGAGTCGAAGAAAACAGAGGGTTGCGCCTCATGACACTCGTCAGCCTCATATTTGTTTCTCATCATATGCTTCTCTCCAAAACCAAACGCGTAACGGCAATGTTTGGCAAGGGTCCAACCGATCTCCCGCTCTCAAACCCACAGCAGCAACGGGTGATCGTAGAATTTTGCCCACTGGTTTTTCCTCTTATCGAAATGCAAGCCCCCCTCATTCACCACTTGCCACCGCACATTCTCAGTATCCACGAGGACCTCGATCTCGCAGAGAGCGCACCCGTCGTCGTAAGACAAAGGGTCGCCCCACTCGTGCCCTTCTGGAGTGACTTCAGAGAGGCCCCAACCTCCTGCCCGACAGTCCCCGAGCAACCTGGCCATGATATCAGCAGCGTTCTTGATTCAATTTTGCATAGCTAACCTTGCCCTCCCCTGCTGCCAAATAAGACGGCTCCAAGTAAACGCGAGAATACGGTTGATCATGGGGGCAGGCGGTGCATCGACAGAATTGAATAGACAAGGTTTTTTTGCAACAGCAAAACGGGCACGGCCTATTGTGAGCTTGCCAAGTACTAAAGCCAAACGTCGTGCAATGCTCCATCCAATCCCCCTTAATTTCAACTAATAGATATCTAGCCTGCGGGGCTGGGCCTGGGGACAGTGGGTTACCGCGAAAGTCCACGACTGGACTTTGACCCTGGGCTGCATGCTCTAGACTCCAGCGGATATACTCCATGATGGGGTAAACCGAACACCAATTTTTGCACCCGCACTTGCGCAGCTCACGTTTCGAGACACATGTTGTTGAATGTCTCCTCCCCGTGAGGAGGTCATAGCACGTAATATTAAAGAGAGAATCACTTTTCCCAACTTGGGTTGACCGAGTGTATCGCGCGCCATCGCAATAGAGAGCGATTGGGCACACTGGCCCGTTGTCGCCAGCTATGTTCCTGAGGGGGTGCTCCTCGAAGGCGTCTTGCCATGTTGCCATGTCTACGTTGTCTTGCATGTCTGCAGGGCCGTTGGCAACCAACTCGTTCTCCAAGCATTTGTGGAGAGGCGCGATCAAGATGGACTTGCTCTGAGAGATGGCGTTCAACGTGCGCACCCAACTACCCGACCCATGCCGTGAGGCGCGTGAGAGTAAAGCTTACAACGTGCACTACCAGCAGGCCGACTGCAAAAACACACTTGCGCGTGAGTAAGTACTGCAAGCAACGTACTGCATGCTCCCCGACCAGTGTGTCCTCTCCTGCCCTCTCTGCCACCTCATACCCACAATCCCTCCACCTAGTAACTGCGCGGCTGGGCCACTGACACTGAAACGCAAGCAGAACAAACAAAAGCACCGCCTGGCGCATATTCTTCACGAACATGGGAATCTTTATGGACTCGGGCTCTGCATGGCTGGACACTGGCAGTACTTTCTCCAAGTGCCCCTGGAACTTACCCGACTGCGACTCTGGATCCAACGCCATCTTCCGCAACAGCTCGCCTCGTGCCCCTGCTAGAACAGCGTGGTGGCATAGCGCGCATGCTGCTTTCGACGAAGTTGTTCCTCTTGTGTACAGAGTCAACAACTCTTTTTCGAGCAGCGCTGCGTGGGCATCTTGCTGATCGATTCTGTTGCGGGCATCTGTCTCTACTGCATCGTTTTCCCAATGACGGGGTCCAAGAGCAGACTCCCAACTGCGCCTGCGGGCCATGACTTGAGCCGCAGAGCTATTGCTAAGAAGACGTGGCGTTGGATCCTCATAAGCTCTGCCGCCCGCCGCCGAGCAAACCATTCAATGCAATTTCTCCCAGACCGTTTTTCCTTTTTAAAGGGGATTTGAGGGTTGTTCCTTTTCGCCGAAT